GGGTCTCGCTCTTGCTCAGGCTGGTTTCAAACTCCTGAGCTCAAACAATCCACCCGCCTCAGCCTCCCAGAGAGCTAGGATTACAGGCGTGAGCCACCGCGCCCGGCCAAATTATTTATTTTTTAAGACGGGGGTCTTGCCCTGTTACCTAGACTGGTCTCAAACTCTGGGCTCAAGCGATCCTCCTGTGGCAGCCTCCTGAGCGGCTGGGATTACAGGCGTGAGCCAACATGCCCAGCCTCCCCCTCAACAAACTCTAGAGGCTGTGTCTAGAAGTCCCCCTCATCTTGGCCCCCTGAAAACGTTGCCTTGAAATCCTCCCTTATCGCCTTAAGGACAGTTTCTGCAGGTCCCCGTTAACTTCCTTTCTGGGGACAGAATCTCCCCTACACCTAAGTTCACCCGGAAGGAGGTGTCTCATTCCCCCCACCCCAAGCCTTCTTAGTGCCCAGAACAGAGGAAGCCAATTGTGTCAGCATTTCCTGAGAGTCGAAGGGGTGGGGGGGTCAGCAGTGCACGGAGGCCTGCCCCACCCTTGGTGGAGACCCACGGGTGTCAGCCACCTTGCTGTGCCCCGCCTGTGTCCCCCACCCTAGGCCCTCAGGGTCAGAGCATTCCCCTTTCCCCACCAGGCCTGGGCAAGGTACAGCCCCCCTGACTTCTGCAATCTCAACTGCTGAGCTTCCTTCCCCTTGGGCGGCCCCGCCTCACCCCTGCCCTGCGGGGCACCTCTTGAAGGCAGCTTCCTGCCTCAGGCTGGCCACCATGGTGCCCTCCAGGCTGCCACCTAGGTCCTGCCAGACTTTGCTTATCTTCCTGCTGCTGGTCTGCTGTCTGCTGTCGCCAGGTGAGACCAGTCCACCCCGGGAGGGCTGAGTTTGGGGGACCGGTAGCGGGTAGGGGAACAGAGAAAGTGAAGCTCCCCATATCCTGCTGCCCTGGCCACTGTCTCAGCTTCCTGGGGAGAAAGTTCTGGCTCCTTAGCTCAGCCTTCAGATGGTCAGGCACCCCCACCCCAACACACACACAGACACAGACACACACATACACACACACACACACACACACACACACAGGCATGTGTGTGCGTGCTGTCTCTCTCTCTCTCTCTCTCTCTCTCTCTTGCCCCCGTCCTTCTCCACCCGGACCCCTGATCTTTGCCTATGTGGTTCCCTCTGCCGGGATCACTCTTCCCTTTCACTTGGCTAACTTTGACTTGGCCTTCAAAACTGGTGGGTATTGACACCTCCTCCAGGAAGGCTTCCTTGACTCACCTCCTTCTCTTTGCTGGATCAGAGCCTCCTCTGGCCTCCCTCTGAGCCCTCCCTCATCCCTGATGGATTCTCTGTCTTCCCCACTGTACTGGCAGCATCACGAGGGCAGGGACCATTGTATCTCAGCTCCAGGAGGGGTTGAATGGTAGGGCCTGATGATGGGTGGGTCATGGATCCCTGGAACAACCAGTGGAAATTCTCCATGTTCCCAAAGGTTCCCAGAGGCAGGAGTTCCTGCTGCGAGTGCAGCCCCAGAACCCGGTGCTTCCTGCTGGTGGGTCCCTGGTGGTGAACTGCAGTACCGAATGCCCCGATCCGAAGCTCATCACTCTGGAGACATCCCTGTTGAAGGAGCCAGTGGGCAATGGCCCGGGCTGGGCAGCCTTCCAGCTCAGCAACGTGACTAGTGACAGTCGGGTCCTCTGTGCCGGGTTCTGCAATGGCTCCCAGATGATAAGCTCCTCTAACATCATTGTGTACCGTGAGTAGATATGCCTGGAGGTGGCACTGACCTCGGGCAGTGGTAGGGACAGATGGCTAATGGCTTGGGGCAATGGGGACCTTGAGTTTGCAGGCATGGACCAGGGTTTTGACTCAGAGCCCAGACCTGGATGTGCACATCCGTGTGTGCGTATGTGTTTGCTGATGAGTGTATCTGTCTATGTCTCTGTGTGTGTTTGTAAGATACACTGTGACTGTGACCTGGGTGTGTAGCCCCCAGCTGACACTCACTGGGAAGCTTCTGTCCAGGGCTGGGTGTCTTGGCTCATGTCAGCAAACTGTGGTCATCTCTTCCCAACTCTGCCTCAACATCAAAATCAGCTATGGAGGGAGTATTTACACCACAGGAATTGGCAACTGCTGTAAATTGGGGCTCTCCCCTCCCACCCAACCTTGAGATCCCAATCCCTCGCATGACCACCATTTAGCAGCATACCACTGGCCCTGACCAGTGGTACCCAAGGTTATGGTGGGGGCCTCCTTGTGAAATATTCTACAATTATAAATATTAAGATGTTAAATATCTTTCACAGCAGCCAGTCTGTAGGTCTGTGTCACAGCTCAAGACCAAGGCTTGAGCTGTCAAGGGTGAGAGTGAAGATTCCCAAAGGAGGCCCAGGGTTTTGTAGCAGAGGACCCAGCCTGGGGCGGGTCCCCCATGACCATGCCAGAACACCCTGAGAAGCTTTCACATGGCAGGTGGACCGGGAAAGCCTTGAGTGGCTGGGACTGATTGCAGAGAGCTGAACCAACTTCTGGGACAGGCTGAGTCAGAAGTCCAGGCCTGAAGCTGGGAGGAAGGGCCAAGGGAGTCCCTAGACATGACATCAACAAGGCAGGTCTGCAGTTGTTTGGAGACCCACATTCTAGCCTGGGTTCTGCTACTTCTTTGCTGTGTGTCCTTGGGAAAATCACCTCACCTCTCTGGGCTGCTATATGTTCCTCCTTCCATAAAAGAGAAAAACAATAGAGAAGATTTCCCGAGGGTGTTGTGTGCATGAAGATGGATGACTTTCCTGGAGAGAAAGTTCTAGATAAACAGGAACTTTTATGATTAATATTAATATCATAAATGGTCATAAAAATTCATCCCCTTTCCTTTTTTTTTTTTCTCTTAACTGTGACATCTTTGGTAACAGAAGATTTTCCTTTTATTTTAGCACCTAGCAAGGTGTCTGAGAACACAGGAAATAATAAACACTTGTACTGGAACAGTTCTAAGCCCTACGCATTTATTAACTCAAAGCTCACAGCTCTGCACAGAGTCGCCCTGTCTCCTCCCCTGGCCCTGCGGTGGGGGTTGCAGGGCCAGGTGACGAGTGCCATTCACTCTTCCTTCCCCCAGGGTTCCCGGATCAGGTGGAGCTGGCGCCCCTGCCCCCCTGGCAGCCCGTGGGCAAGAACCTCACCCTGCGCTGCCAGGTGGCCGGCGGGGCGCCCCGGTCTCAACTCACAGTGGTGCTGCTCCGCGGGGAGGAAGAGCTGAGCCGGCAGCAGGCGGCTGGGGAGCCCGCCGAGGTCGAGGTCGAGGTCACGGCCACGGTGCTGGCAGGCAGAAGTGACCACGGCGCCAGTTTCTCATGCCACACGCAACTGGATCTGCAGCCCCAAGGGCTGGGGCTGTTTGAGAACACCTCGGCCCCCCGCCAGCTCCGAACCTTTGGTGAGGGAAGGGGCTTCAGACGGCCGGTGATGAGCTAAGCTAGGGTAGGGCGTGCCCTGGACCTCACGGGCTCCTGGGAAGGCATGCCCTTGGCCATTGTTCGGGTGGCCCCAGAAGGGAGGCTCATGCTGTGTGGAAGCTTTTGAGAATGCTGGGTTCATGGCCCTGTGGGTGTGTCTGGAGAAAGAGGGTGACCCAGGCCTCAAGCTATCCTGGGAGGAGGACCCTCACTGGGGGGATGAGGTGTGCTGGGGAAAACAGCATCTGTGGTTGTGTGAGGCCTCCTCCTGCTCACCAGTGCCCTTCTCCCCAGCCCTGCCCAGGACTCTCCCCCACCTCGTGGCCCCCCAGTCCTTAGAGGTGGGAACGCCGTCGCAGGTCACCTGCATCCTGGATGGGCTGTTTCCATCTTCTGAGGCCCAGGTCCAACTGGCACTGGGGGACCAGATGCTGAATCCTGCAGTCACAAGGAACAGCGACAGGCTCACGGCCAGAGCCACAGTCACAGCGCAGGCAGATCAGGAAGGTCCCCGGGAAATTGTCTGCAACGTGACGTTGGGGGGCGAGACTCGCGAGTCCCGGAAGAACCTAACAGTTTTTAGTAAGAGGGGTCGGGGTCTCAGGAGTCCGGGGGGCGTGACAGGGGCGGAGATTAATCCAAAAGGCGGGGCCTGAACTGTCCAATAGGAGTTGCAATGTGAGTTGGGCCTGAGCGTCCCAAGTAGGACAAGGCCCGCAAAGAGGGAGGAGGTGGCTTGAGAAGCCTAAATGCGTGGCCTGGATACCCCCAGAGGAAAGGAGCGGGCGGAGGGCACGGCCTGACTCGTAGGAGGGTCATGGTCCGTAAGCTCCTGCAAGCTCCTGCGCAATGCCTCGCCCTTAGGCTTCCTAGGGCCCATTCTAAACCTGAGCGAGTCCAGCGCCCCCGAGGGGTCAATAGTGACCGTGACTTGCATGGCCGGGGCCCGAGAACACGTCTTGCTGGACGGGGTTGCGGCTGCAGCCCCGGGACAGCCCGCCCAGCTTCAACTAAATGCTACCGAGATGGACGACCAGCGCAGCTTCTTCTGCAGTGCCATTCTCGAGGTGGACGGGGAGATCCTGAACAGGAACACGAGCGTCCAGTTGCGTGTCCTGTGTGAGTTGGTCACTCTCACCGTTAATCCCTCGAACCCTGCCCGAAAGATCTGATATTCCTTTGCTCCACTGTGCCTCGGGTGTGTTGAGTGTGTCTGATCACATGGTGATTCCACAGATGGTCCCAAGATTTACCGAGCCGATTGTCCCGAGCACTTGAAATGGAAAGATAAAACGCACCAGGTCCTGCAGTGCCAGGCGCGGGGCAACCCAGCCCCGCAGGTACTCTGTTCGAAGGAAGGCTCCACCCTTAAGGCGCCCGTCGGGATCCCATTCTTCGTCAACTTAAAATATAATGGCACTTATCACTGCCAAGCGGCCAGCTCACGGGGCACGTACGGCCTGGTGGTGGTGATGGACATTCAGGGTGAGCCAAGGCGGGGTCACGGGTCTGGACCGCCAAGTCCAGGACGCCCTGGGGCGCGGGTATTTACTCTGCGCTTTCTCCGCACAGGTCGGAACCTCCCCTCCGTCACGATCTTCATGGGGGTGTCAGCGACCGTGGCCTTGGTGACTGTCATAGGGGTCTTAATTTACTTCTACGGTGTGAAGCGGAGCGGCATCTACAAGGTGAAGCAAGAGACCTCGCTGCCCCTCACGTCTATGCAGCCCATCGAGACCGTGGCGGAAGAACCGTCCTGAGCAGCAGGACGCTGGCATCTTGGACCAAAGTCCCCGGATTCCCCAACCAATAAAGCCCTCCTACTCCGTAGTCTGTAGCTTGGTTCCACCTACGCTGCGGGGCTGTCCCACCGCGCTGCGCGACCCCTGAGTACCATCGCGGCTGCGGAAGGGGGCGGAGTCTGTGGCGCTCAGACGCGGCTTGAACTCTTGAGAGTCGGGCTGAGCCTTAGCCAATGGGCTGAGGGGGTCGGAAGGGAGGTGGGGCCTCTCTCAGCCAATCGGAGGGCGTTCCCTCGTTGCCGCTCTATGCCGCTCCGCCCCGGCTCGCTGGTCCCAGAAGGCGCCGGGTTTCCCAAGATGGCGGCCGACGTGTCCGTTACTCACCGGCCCCCGCTGAGCCCGGAGTCTGGGGCCGAGGTTGAAGCTGGTGATGCCGCGGAGCGCCGGGCGCCCGAAGAAGAGTTGCCGCCGCTAGATCCAGAAGAGATCCGGAAGCGCCTGGAACACACCGAGCGCCAGTTCCGTAACCGCCGCAAGATACTGATCCGGGGCCTCCCGGGGGACGTGACCAACCAGGTATGGGGGGGCGGTGTGGGAGCGTGGCGGGAAATACCACCGTGCGCGTGCGCGGGGGGAACTGGGCCACACCAACGCTGACGTGCGCGGGGGTCGTTGGGCGCGGGACCCACGCGGGATCGGGAGAGACCAAGAACGGGATGTGGGGGGGCGGTGATGAAGGGAGAAACCAACTTTGGGCTGAGGGCGGACGTTGCTAGGGGCGACCACTGGCTTGGGCGAGACCAAGTGATTGAAGGGGGCGGGTAATGGGAGGGGGCGGGCAGCTTTGGCCCTGTTGGGGGGTTGTGAATGGGCCTCTAGATTGGGACACCACTTGCCCCTTTCTCGTGCTTATCCCCACCCCCTGTATCATGGGGTGATGGGACCGCATATCCAGAAGTTTCAGGGCTGGCTGGGGCATGCCTCTCCATATCACGCGTTTATTCACTCCCCTCAGAGGTAGATCCGGAAGTTACAGCAGTCCCTGAGGTCTCTTCCCCCAAAACCCCTGGAATAATGAGGAAAAATGGGGTCTCCTGTCACCAGCCCACAGACCTACAGAAAGGAGGGGGGGTGGTGTTCTGTGGAGCCCCCATTGGCCAATCTGCCTGCCAGGAGGGCCCTTCTCTTGGGGCCTGTGTCCAGCAAGGCTTTCCAGTGCTCTTTGGACTCAGGGAAGTGGCATCTATGCTGCCCTGCCCTGTGACGGCGGAATGGGTTCTGTCTCTCTACTGCTGAGAATCCCAGCTCTCCGGCCCAGCAGCACACCTGCCGCTGGTCCTTCCTGCCCATGGATGGGCACATGCCCATGGATGGGGCCCCAGGAATGTTAGAAGGGGCTTGGTTTGGGGACAGACCAGGGGCAGGCACCACCAAGGACGGTCTGGTTTGTTTCTGGAGCCGGTCCTCCTCTTGGTACACGCAATCTCTCGGCTGGGAACACGCTGCCTCTCCTGCAAAGTGCACAGCGTGTCTGGCACAAGCTGGCCCCAGCGCCGTGCTCTCAAAGCTGGCTTGTGAGAGGGCGATCCTGTCAGCAGGAGAGAATTGAGATGTATGCGAAGCCATACACTGCGGGCTTATTAAGTACCCCAGTCAGGTACCCCTGGGTGGCATTCCCGCCGCTGCCCTGACCAGCTGCATGACCTTTAACAGGTCCCTTCACCTCTCTAGGCCTCCATTTCCTCTTGTGCAAAATGGGTTCGTTAATACGTCACTTGTAGAGTTGTTGGAAACAGTCTTGCAAAAGGAGGTTCAGACAGGTGGCGTGGCTTCCCTAAAGGCTTATTCTCTAAGAGTGTGTTGTGTTGGTTAATAGCACAGGGCCTGCAGCCCTGCTGGGTCTGGCCTGGCGAATGACCTTGGGCAAATAACTGCCTTAAGCCTCAGTTTTCCCATTTGTAATAGGAGGGTGGTAAGTGACCTGCCTTCATAGCTGGTCCACGTGAGGGTGGCACCGGGTTGCTCCCTATGGTCTCTGCTGACTCCCAATCCTTTGTCTTCTGTCCCCACAGGAAGTGCACGACCTGCTCAGCGACTATGAGCTCAAGTACTGTTTTGTGGACAAATACAAAGGGACAGGTTTGTGGGGCCATGGGGTGGACCAGGGCAGGGGGTGACAGTCCTTGAAGATGGGAAGGTCCTGGCTCAGTGTTTCCTCTCCTAGGGCCCCGGTATTGCCCCCAGGCCAGCGCGGCAGGTTGCCTCAATCTGTCTCTGGTCCTGGGTGCCCATCTTGGGGCAGCCTTCACGTTCTCCTCCGGGCTGTCTGGCCAGATACTTTGGCATTGGGCTCATTTCTTCCCACATTACTCGCCCCATCCTGTGTGGTCTTCCCCTTGAAGCCTTCCACGCCCTTGGCTTCCACCTAGGCTGTGCCCCTCTGTCTCTGCCTAAATGGCTGCCTTCCTCTGGTCTCCCGGCCAACATAATTTCACACTGCTACTTGCCCTCCCCCAGGAAGCCAGCTCCAATCCCACTGCCAACCTGATTAAACCTGATCCTAACACTCACCGTTATTCTCTCTCCTCACAATCTGTCTGCGGCTCCTCCTAATATGTGCCCCAGCCTTGCCGTCTCCTCGGCCACCCATGAGATTCCAGGCTGTCCCCTCTTCCATCCAGGCCCCACCCGGGTAGCAGCAGGCATCTGCCCTTCAGAGCACTGACAGCTCTAGGCTGTGGTTGCTGGCTCTCCTGTCTGCCTGCCTCCTGCCCGGAGTGGTCAGCTCCATGACAAAGGGGACAGGTCTTGTCCCTCGGTGGATGTCAGTGCCTACCAGGCATTGTGCCGGCATCAGACCTTCCAGGGCCTTCGCTTGCAATCTGTAACATGGGTGAGAAGGAGCTAAGGACAGGTGCCCCTCGGAGAGCTACCTGGCAGGCTGGAGTAGTGGTTAAGGTCTTGGCAAACAGGCTTAGAGTTCACACCCTGCTTTGTCCTTTCTCTGTGGCCACGGGGAAGTGCTTTTCCCTTCCAGAGGCTCGATTTGCTCACCGGCAAATTGACTGTGACCATAACATAACATGTATTTACCGGCTCGGGTTAGCCGTAGAACCAAACACATTAAAATGCCTAAAAGGCTTCGGGTACCTGGCACATAGTAGGTGCTTAGTAAACAGTGGCAGGAAGGCCGGATGCAATGGCTCACATGTGTAATGCCAGTAGTTTGGGAGGCCGAGGCTAGAGGATCACTTGAGGCCATGGGTTTAAGACCAGCCCAGCCTGGGCTACATAGCAAGACCCCGGGTGTGGTGGTGCACCCCTATAGTGCCAGCTACTTGGGAGGCTGAGGCAGGAGGATCCCTTGAGCCCAGGAGTTCAAGGTTGCAGTGAGCTATGATCACACCACTGCATTTCAGTGTGGGCGACAGAGTGAAACATTGTCTCGAAAAAAAAGAAAGAAAGAGTCAATAAGTCACATGTTTACTGAGCACCTAGGTTGGGGATCCAGATATTGAGTGACACTTACGTTCACACAGTCTTGCAGCAAGTATTTATTTAGTGCCTGTGCTAGGTACCAGGGACACAGTGGTGAACCAGACAGAGGTGGTCTAGTCCAGGGAGGAGGATGGTATTCAGACAACTGTGAAGGTGAAATGGACTTGAGGGAGCAGTCAGGGCAGGCTTCGCGGGGGAGGTGACGTTTGAGGTCAGAGCTGACATGTGGGCCAGGGTTAACCAGGTAAAGAGGTGGGGCTCAGTGTTCCACACTCAGAGAATAGCAGCTGCAAAGGCCCCGGATGGAGCGTGCCCAGCGTGGCCCAGGAGGCAGTGGCGAGCGAGCCCACACAGGCTCCGCTGGACCCTGCAACGAGAAGCCACCAGATGGGACAGGCACGATCTGGTTATCATTTCGAACAAAGCTTCCTGCGGCCACTGGGTAGATGGGGAATCGGGAGCGGCACATGGCAGCAGGGCTGAGGTGCATGGGTGGCCTGGAAAGGTGGTAGAGGGTGTTCAGTGCAGGACTCTGGAGCCCAGCTGCCAGGGTTCAAGTCCAGGCTACTCCACTTGGGCGAGGAGGCACTGTTTCCTCACTGGCAAAACAATGGTTCTGAGGATTAACTTGTGCCCATTTGACAGATGAGGAAACTGAGGCCCCCAAAGCCTCCTAAGGTTTGGGACTTAAACCTGAGCTCAGTGACCACGCGCTTAACCCCCACCCTTGGTGTCACCTCAGTTGCCCACGTAGTTCTTAGGACAGAGCCCGGTGAGCGCTGCTGTGTGTGCGCGTGGGCTCGCTGGCCCATGCGAGTTGCTCAAGGCTGGCGACTGTTCACATGGGGTGGTGCCCAAGGTGTCACCATCTGAGATGTCCAGCATTGGGATATCACATCTAGTTTGGAGGGCAGCGGGGTGGAGGAACAGGCCCTCGGGGCCCCACTGACCCCGAGCTGCCCTCCTGCCGCTGTAGCCTTCGTGACCCTGCTGAACGGGGAGCAGGCGGAGGCTGCCATCGGCGCTTTTCATCAGAGCCGCCTGCGGGAGCGCGAGCTGTCGGTGCAGCTGCAGCCCACGGATTCCCTGCTGTGTGTGGCCAACCTGCCGCCCAGCCTCACGCAGCAGCAGTTCGAGGAGCTGGTGCGGCCCTTTGGCAGCCTGGAGCGCTGCTTCCTGGTCTACAGCGAGCGCACCGGCCACTCCAAGGGCTACGGCTTTGCCGAGTACATGAAGAAGGACTCAGCCGCCCGCGCCAAGTCAGACCTGCTGGGCAAGCCGCTGGGCTCGCGCACCCTCTACGTGCACTGGACGGACGCCGGGCAGCTGACGCCTGCTCTCCTGCACTCCCGCTGCCTCTGTGTCGACCGCCTGCCACCCGGCTTCAGCGACGTGGACGCCCTGTGCCGGGCGCTGTCCGCCATCCACACGCCCACCTTCTGCCAGGTGAGCCCTGTGCCCGGCGCGGGGGACATTGGGGAGCAGATGCCAGGCCCAGAGCACCTCAGAGGGGTCCCTTGGAGTCACTTGCCTTTCCTAATCTCCTAGTTCCGTTTTCGGTAAAGCAGTAGCGACACAGCTTTGAATGGGGTGCTTGCTAGAGAGGCCTCGTGGGGCGGTGGGCCCGGATCTGAGCCAGAGGGCTGGGGGTGAATCCCTGGGCCCCGGCAGACACAGCGAGGCTGCCCTTACAATTGCTGATCGCAAGGCATGCTCACCCCACCTTTCGCTGATACCCTCATCACATGTGTGATGAGCTCCTGCCAGGCCCCAGCCCCGGGCCAGGCTTTGAGGAAGTTGTTCCAGAGGGGCTGAGATGGGAGGATTGCTTGAGGAGTTCAAGACCAGCCTGGGCAACATAGCAAGACCCCATCTCTAAAAAAAAAAAAAAGGGAAAGTGACGCTTGGCCAGATCCCAGCCCTGAGCCTCAGTTTCCCTTCTCTGTCAGTAGGGATTCAATACCTGCCCCCACTGGGTTTGGGCAAACAATCCCTTGTTCATTGAACCCACATGTGCCAAGCACTTCTGTGTGTGTCTTGCTTGCCCTGTGACCGGTACAGCAGGGCAGGGTAGGCCAGGCCCGGCTGCTCCCCGACAGTCTGAGAAGATCTTGTCTACAGATCCTGAAGGGAGACATTCCTTCAGCACTCGCTGTGGGTCCTGAGTACGTTACCTGCAATCGCTTCATCCTGTGACTACCCAGAGAGGCAGGTGTCGTCCCCATTTTCAGGTTAGGACACTGAGGCACAGAGGAGTCGAGTGACATGCCCAGGGTCACACAGCCGGGGACTGGCAGGGCCGGGATAGGCGGGCTGCTGCCTGGATCCGGATCCCTGGGACAGCTGAGAGGCGGCCAGTGCGTGGGCTGGGATGGGACAGTCCTAGGCTCAGACCCCAGCTCTGCAGCCCTGGGTGGGTCCCGGCTGCCTCGTGTAAGTGGGGTGTTGGTGCCCCATTTAAACCAGGCGTGTGTAGGAAACTTGCCCACTCACTGGTCATTCTGCGGCCTGCTGTCGCACACCTGTGCCCAGGAGGACACAGGGTAAATTATCATTAAAAGCATTTGTTCTGTAACATTTGGATTCAGTCAAAAGGCCACACTCAAAGATCCAGAAGGCCACATGTGGCCCCAAGGCCCCAGGTCCCCCATCCCTGCACCAGACATTTATTGAGCACCTGCTGAGTACTAGGCATTGAAGCAGCTTGCCTCTGAGGAGCTCACGTTAAGTGTCCTGGTTGAATGTGATACCTATTTAGTAACTGTGTGGCCTTGGTCACCCTTTGACCCCTCCGAGTCTCTCTCTGTTCATCTGTAAGATGGGCGTGATTATGAGAAGATGCATGGCCCGGCTGCAGCCAACACTTTCCCTGCCCAGGCGCTCAGTGGGTGCACGGCCCAGGCCCGGTCACATCCCACAGCGTCACTGCCTGGCTCGGCCACTGCCTGGAACAGGAGCGTTCCCTTCCCTGCCCCTTGTTCAGCATCTTATTTAATCCTCACAACAGCCCTGTGAGGTGGGGCCAGTTGCTGGCCCATTTCGCAGATGAGGAAAGAGGAGGACAGGGACATGCAAGTGCAGTGACCAGCCAGCGAGAGGCGTGCTGGGATTCCAGGTGGGACAGCTGACCTCAGGGCCCAGCTGCTTAATCAGGCACCCCCACTGCCTGAGATCGCCAGATGCCAAACTGCGAGTTTACTGTCCTGATGGGGTGGGGGTGGGGAGGTGTTTGTTTTCTACATAATCGAGAATCGCGGGGAAACCCATAGAAACCCACTGCAGTGCGTTCTGCCGTTTATGTGTAGGCAAATTGATATGTCTTAATTGCTTTATTTTGTTACAAAGTTGCTTATAAATATTTACCACGCAAATGTATAAAGCAAGTCTCACAAGACCTTAGGTGTTATTAAAAAGCCTTTTGCACACTTCAGAATTCATCGTGTCCAGAAAGGTGAGGCTCCCTGCTTGCTGGCCTCAAGTTTGCTGTGTTCCTTGTTTGAAACAACCAGCGAGATTGTTTTATGCACTTCAAAAATACATAATGCTGCGTACTTTCCGGCTGTCCCCTTTTTTTGACGCAAATATTGCTGTGCCTGCTTTGGTCTCCTTCCTCCACTCGCTTTGTGTGTGGCATGTTTCCATGCTCGGGCACAGAGCTTTCTTAGTTCTTTTGTGGCTGGGCATGTTCCACTTGACGGACACTACGCTAGCCCCTACTGATGGACAGGGCATTGGTCCCGAACCACAACCCAGCCATCCGCTTGTCACTTGGGACCAGGAGTGACAGCATTGTTTCTTGGGACAACCATCACCATGCCCAAAGTGGCTGGTTCCACGAAGGGCGTCCGCCTGACCTTGTCTGATCCCAGGTCTAGCTCTGTGGCCTGGAAAAAGACCCCCCCACCCCCTGCTGTCCCCTGAGCTTCAGTTTCCTCATGGGGGCGCAGAAAGTGCCTGCCTCTGTGATGCAGCGACATAACGCCAGCAGCACCCCGCCCTCGGGTGTGCAGGGTGGTCCCTCCGTGCCAGGCAGGGCCTGGGCTGGGCGCCCTCGCAGCATCTGCTTGCTGTGGGACAGCCCCATCCACAGTTCCAGCACCCAAAATGCCCTGACAACCAGGGGCTTGGTCCCCTGAGTTTGTGGCAGCCCCACTGGGCAGCAAAATATGACCCGAACCAATGCGGGCCCCCTGTGGCCTTGATCTTTCCGTCTTGCCGCGTAGTGGTTCCTGCGTTTGTGGGTTTGTGGTACGGGAGCTGCCCCAGACCCCGCTGGGAGTGGCTGGTACGTAACACTCGCTGTGTGTGGCGCCGTACCCCTCTTATCCCCCAAATCCTCAGTCCTCAAGCACACCTGGCCCCAGGGCTCCAGGTAAGGGGCTGTGGGCCCGAAGATCCAAGTGGCTGCTGTCAAGGGGGCGGAGAGACCCCCCTACCCTAGCCATGACCGTACCTCTGTCCTTGCTGCTCCCTGGCTGCGTGACCATTGCCTGCCTGGTACCGGCAGTCTCGAACCCAAGCTTGGAAGCCACCTGCCTTACCCACTGGCTGTGCGCCTTTCCCAGCCCTGGCTGCAGTGTCCTTAGCTTGTGGTCAGGTGGCGCTCCGGAGCCACCTGCCTGTCTCCCACCTTGCACCTTGGTGTGCTCGGGAATCCAAGTGGAAGTCCCTCCTCTGTGGCGTTGGCATTGGTGGGGAGGTGGCTCCCAGCACTGCCTTCCCAGCCACCACGTGGCCTCGGGTGAGCTGCGCTCTGTGCCTCGGTTGCCTTCTCTGGAAAATGGGTCCGATGCAGCCTCCCAGGGCTGTGGACTGAGCCGGTGCAGGAACAGGGCTCAGGACAGTGCCTGGCACTAAGGTCCCCCTCTCTGGAGGGTCCCTGTCACAATCGGGAGCCACATTTGGTCACTGTGCTCGCTTCACGGGGTGGTGCGGTCACTGCCACCCTGGCACTCACACCTGCCTGCCTCCTCCCTGCAGCTGGCTTGCGGCCAGGACGGGCAGCTGAAGGGCTTCGCGGTGCTGGAATACGAGACGGCCGAGATGGCGGAGGAGGCGCAGCAGCGGGCCGACGGCCTGGCCCTGGGGGGCAGCCACCTGCGCGTCTCCTTCTGCGCCCCCGGGCCCCCCGGCCGCAGCATGCTGGCCGCACTCATCGCTGCCCAGGCCACGGTGAGCGTGCTCGGGTGGGGGCGCCCCAGGGTGGGGATGGGGAGACCCCAGGCGGCGCGCTGAGCTGCCCTCCCCTCCTCCCCGCAGGCCCTCAACCGGGGGAAGGGGCTCCTGCCCGAGCCCAGCATCCTGCAGCTGCTCAACAACCTGGGGCCGTCCGCCTCCCTCCAGCTGCTGCTCAACCCCCTGCTCCACGGCAGCGCAGGGGGCAAGCAGGGTAAGGCGGGGCCGGGTGGGACCCCCAATGCGCTTGGAACAGGGGCTAAAGCCCTGTCCCCCGCATTCCCTGAAATTCTGCTCATCTCAGCAGTAGGCGCTAGGAAGCCCTTGGGGAGGGCTGAGGAGAATGGAGGTGGCCCGAGGGAACGGCTGCTGCCCACCCAGGGATGGGGACAGCAGAGCAGCCTGTAGCCGGGGGGAGGGGGGCTCCCTCCCTGGAGTGGACTCTGCCTGTTTTGGGCCCTTCCTTTGGGCACATCTGTTGCCCCCTGAAAGCTTCAGTTTCTTGCTCTAGCAACAGACTTGGGGCTGTGTTGCATGGCGTGGGGGACACAGGGACCACTGCCCATCCCCTTGCGTCTCCCCCCAGGCCTCCTGGGTGCCCCGCCGGCCATGCCGCTGCTCAACGGGCCAGCCCTGTCCACGGCGCTGCTGCAGCTCGCCCTGCAGACCCAGAGCCAGAAGGTAATGCCACATGCCACCCCCTCCCCACACCCGCACGGCGCCTTCTAGCGTGGCTGGCCCTCCCCGAGGGTGGCCGTCGGTGGAGTTGGGGGACCTCTGGCTGTGTCCCTGGGGCCCAGGACGAGGGTGATGCTGACTTACCCCGTCCAGTCCCACACAGTAGGGTTTGCCTTTCCCTCTGCTCTGGAGAGGGCCCCTGGCCTTGGTGGCCGGGGTGGGGTCAGGGGACCTGGACACACCCATTTACATTCTGAGACTGGGTGTGGGCTGGGAACGCCCCTGCCGGGCACCAGTTTGCGAATAGACTCTGCTCGAAGTCTCCCCTGCAGAGGAGCCACTTGGGGAAGAAAGTCCAGGCCGGCCCCCTCGGCACGCACACACGTGGACACACATGGACGGGTACACGTACACATAGACTCACGCACAGACACAGACGCACCCATGCCCCACCCTGTCTGGTTAGGTTCCCTGGGGCCTAGTTGGTGACATGGGCGTGTTCGGTGGTAACAGAGCGGGAGCTTGTGGGTTCAGACCTTGTGTGACACCGTGCCGTGTGATCATTTGCCAGGAGCTGGGCGTTGGACAGTGTGTGCCTAAGAAGGACCTTCACTGTGTGTCTGGCAGTGATGGACAGTGTGGGGTGACAGGCCCTGGCATGCAGGAGACCTTCAGTGTCCTGGCTGGCCGGATGGGCGACGGGTCGCATGTCACAGGCACTGGCGGACTCCGTGCGTGTCTGCCTGGGACTGGCTATTGACTCGGGTCTCGATATGCCGAGTGTTGTGACCTTCAAGACTCTGGGTGACACCTGTCTGCTGCCTAGGCCACCCTGCCCCGTCTCCAGCTGTCTGTGCTCTGTTCTTAGAAGCCCGGGATCCTTGGAGATTCACCCCTGGGCACCCTCCAGCCTGGGGCCCAGCCGGCTACCCCCCTCCTGGGAGAGCTGTCTGCAGGTAACAGACCCCGCCCTGCGTCTGCCCGGGCACCAGCACCCTGCCCTTCCCAAGCCCCTTTTCGCCACTGGAGTTGGAAGTTCCCAGCTGTGTGGCCTTGGGCAAGTGACACAGCCACTTTGGGTGTCAGCATCATCATCTGTCAGTTGGGTGCCCACCTCATGGGGTGGCCGTGAACGTTGTTCAGCAGGCAACACGAAGTTGCCCCAGGAAGAGGGGTCCCGTGTGGCCGGGCCACTGAACTCCTCCTTCTCTCCGTAGGGGGGGGCCTGACCCCGGAGCTGCCGCCCCGGCGAGGGAAGCCACCACCCCTGTTGCCACCACTGCTTGGCCCCGCTGGGGGTGACCGGGAGGCCATGGGCCTGGGTCCCCCAGCCGCCCAGCACACTCCTCCCCCACCCCCCGTAGGGCTCCGAGGCACTGGCCTCAGGGGCCTCCAGAAAGACACTGGGCCTCTGCCGCCGCCCGCTGGGGTAAGGCCTTGCTTTGCACCCGCCACCACTCCAGCCTCCCGCCCCAGCCTCCCGCCCAGCCACGTCCCGCCTGCCTGAGGGCCCTCGCGAATCCGGCCCTCCCGTCGCAGGTCTCGCTGCTCGGGGAGCCCCCCAAGGACTACCGGATCCCCCTGAATCCCTACCTGAACCTGCACAGCCTGCTCCCAGCCAGCAACCTGGCGGGTAAGGAGGCCCGGGGCTGGGGAGGCGCTGGGAGAAGCCGCCGCCCAGCTGAGGGCCCCCTGCCTAACCCCTCAGCCCCTGGCGGCGGCGGCAGCGGCGGTGCCAGCAGCAGCAGCAAAGCCTTCCAGCTTAAGTCCCGCCTGCTCAGCCCCCTCACCAGCACCCGCCTGCCCCCCGAACCAGGGCTGCCTGACAGCTACGGCTTGGACTACCCCTTGGTGAGTGGCTGGCTGCGTAGCCCTTTGTCCCCTGAGACCAAATCCTTCACCAGACTGGTATTTCTCTAACGACTGCCAGGCCACGAGCTAGCGGGGACCGTGCCAGATGTATCACAGCCCTTAACCCTCCTGTCTGTCTCCGCACATCCGACCCTGCTTCATGTGTGTCTGCTTGTCTGTCCATTCCCAAGACCTGGTGACCTCAGCTCGTGTCTGTCTGTTAGTCTTTCTGTCCCTCCCGACAGGCCCTTAGGCTGTACTCTGTCCCTCTAGAGACAGGGCTCAGCCTCCTGCCCGGCTCTGTCCATCTCTCCTGCCTTTGAGTCTCGTCTCTGGCCCAGGAGAGTTGGTCCTTTTATGATCCCAGTGTCCTCCAGGTCAGAAATTGCAAGCTGGCCACCCACAGGCCGCCTATGTCATATTCGTGCCACACTGGGTTTCAAACAAATCACAACTAAAATAAATGTCAACACGGGAATTGCGAGAAGTCACACAGCATGGATTCCCAGCTTGCCTCGAGAACTTCAAACGCCTGGCCTCGCTGGGGCCACGCACCTTGCACAGTGGCCACCGCTGGGGCCAAGGGGCAGCCACCCCCTGTGACGGGGCACGTTCTGCCTCATTCCAGCTCCCCAGCCTCTCACGGCCCCCACAGGCCACGTTTGCCCCCTCCTGGCCCCAGAATGGTAGGGGGTGACTTCCTTGGTGACTACTATGCCATGGAGTTCAGCCATCTGACCCCCTGTGCTTCTCCCACTTTCATTCAGGATGTGGGACCTCGGCGGCTCTTCTCGCACCCACGGGAGCCAGCCCTCGGGCCTCACGGGCCCAGCCGACACAAGGTAAGAGCTGCCCTGCGCGTCCTACCTGCCTGGTGTAGCAGTCAGCCTTTGCCGTCTAACAAGCCGTGCCACCCTGAGCCTAGGGAGACTTACCACATCTCCCCATTCTGCGGGGATGTGGGTGGTCCCCCGAAGTCACCTAGTGCTCTCCTGGGCCTCATTGGGACATACGGCCTCACATACTTTGGTCATCCATGGGCTGGGACGGTTCATCTCTGTGCTGCTGGCCTGTGCTGTTTGCGGGGTCTCTTCAGTCCTGCTGGCCAAAGCTAGTTAGGGCAAAGTGCAGAGCTGTTTGGGGGGATCCTACACAAGGGAGTGGATGCTCCGGTCACCTGCTCTAGTCAGCTGACCCCTTCTCTGCAGATGTCTCCCCCGCCCAGTGGCTTTGGCGAGCGGAGCGGTGGGGGTGGAGGCGGGCCCCTCTCTCACTTCTACTCGGGCTCGCCCACCTCCTACTTCACCAGCGGCCTGCAGGCTGGCCTTAAGCAAAGCCACCTCAACAAGGTAAGGAGCCTCCCCGGCCAAGGACAGGTGCCCTGGGACAGCCAGGATTCGGAGGCACCTGCCACAAGGGCTCTGTGACTTCCGCTGCCTAGGCCAAGGTTGGGGCGGTGGCAGGGGTCAGTCCTGCTCAGGGCAGAGTGGAAGCAGCCTGTGGTCCTCCCTCTCTGCTAGTCTTCCCTCACGTCCTCCCCCAGCAGCCCAGGGGGTGATTGGTGTTAGCCCCATTTGACAGACAAGGAAACTGAGGCTCAGAGAAATGGTGTGATCTGCCCCAGGTCTCATAGCTAGTAAGTGGCAGAGGCAAGACTGGAACCTAAAACCCCTCACCTTCCCTCTGGGGGTGTTCCCAGGAAGTGACACCCAGGAAGTGACCCATGCCACCTCTCTCATTTCTCCCAGGTGGTCGGCTCCTCCCCACTGGGCTCCGGAGAAGGGCTCCTGGGTCTCGGCCCTGGGCCCAACGGTCACAGCCACCTGCTGAAGGTACGGGCAGGGGGTGGGGACATGCAGGGCTGGGAGGCCCTCACCCTCGGGCAGCCCCTGACCCGCCGCCCCCTGCCCTCTGTCCCCAGACCCCACTGGGTGGCCAGAAACGCAGCTTTGCCCACCTGCTGCCCTCGCCCGAGCCCAGCCCGGAAGGCAGCTACGTGGGCCAGCACTCCCAGGGCCTCGGTGGCCACTATGCGGACTCCTACCTGAAGCGGAAGAGAATTTTCTAAGGGGCCGGCGCCAGAGATGCCCAAGGACCTGCACCAAATCGCTTTTGGGTTTTCTGGTGTTTTGTTTTGTGTTTTTTAAAAACATTTTCTTTCTTTCGGTAATAGAAAAATCTCTGAAAGACTTTACTGACCAACCAGCCGGAGCCCCAGGAGCCCAAGGAGTGTGGGGGCGTCTAGGGGCCTCAGCGCTCCTCTGGCCGGCTCCCCACGCCGAAACCCTGCAGCCTTAAGAGAGGGGCCCCGGCCTGCTCTCTCCCTCCCCGTCTCCTGTCCTCTGCCTGTGCCTGTCTCTCCGGGAGTCCTCTCCTGCCTCGTCACTCCTGTATTTTGGCCTTTCGAGTGCCTTGGAGGTTTCCCTGACCTCCTGTGAGGATCAGAGACCGTCCCCCTTTTTTAACTTTGACAATTGACTTGTGTTTCCTTTTCTAATTTTTAATTTTTAAACCATCCAGGACAACCCCCAGCTCTGATTCCTTCAAGGCCCAGCCTGTCTGGGCTTCATTCCACACTTCGCGGTTTGAAACAGCTCAGCCCTCTTCTCTTTTCCCTGCAGTGTCTGCTGCAGGCATGGCTGTCTCCTGCCCCTGCCTGCCCGCTCTGGCCCGTACCCCAGCCCCAGGTCCCCAGCTCCCCGCCACAGCCCCCTCGCCTTCTGATGCCTTAAAGCTGGGCCCCAGGCCCCGCTGGCCAGAGCTTCAGACGCCAAGCTCTGGGAGCTTGACTACGGACCAAACAGCTCTGGCCTGGGGATTGGGCCCCCCTACCTAGGGTCTCCACCCTGGGGACAGTAGAAGGCCAAAGCCTTCCTCTTGGCAAACCAACCCCACCACTCCTTCCGCGCAGATGGACTTTCTCTGCCAGCTTAAACCAGTAGCCCTGCCGTCTGTCTGCGGGAGTCAGGCGTGGAGCCCATCTCACTGAGCCTCTGCTGTCCGCCCCCTTGTTCAAGATGAACTACCCTCTCCAGTCCCAGGCCAGATCACTGGAGCTGGCCTCCTTCAGGCCCAGCCCCGAAGACCAACAGCTCGGTGCAGATAAGCTCTGCACCTGCCCACCAGCAGGACCTGTCGGCCTGAGATGACCCTGGGCCCTGCCCCTGGCCGACTGGGCCAGCAGCTTCCCTCCCCTGACTGGGGGCCCACAGCCACTCCAGGGGATGTCCTCTCCCCAATCTCCCCACACAGACCTTTGCTGAATTAAAGTTTGTAAGTAAATGGTTTTAAAGAAATCAGAGCTGGCTGGTTCTTGGGACAACAGTGGGCCCGAGTGGGAGGTCTGGGACACCCCAGCAGGTTTCCGTGCGCCGGATCCTGCCCTGCACCTTCCCACCCTGGTAGTCCCCACGTGGGCCTCATACTGCCTCTGGCCCCAAAACGCTTGGCGCTTGTGTTCGGGTAATTACGGGCTCTTTGCGCGCCTGTCCGGCACAGCGCATGCTCAGTTGCTGGGTCACGTGATGTCTGTCATGGCCGCCTCCATGGCCCGAGGAGGCGTGAATGCGAAGGTTCTGCTGCGGGCTGCCAGGGGCACCTGGTGGAACAGGCCTGGGGGCTGTTCGGGGTCCGCGGAGGCGGCAGCGCCAACGATAACCAGAAAATTCCAGGGGACAGGTACCTGGGACGCCCGGGATGGGTAGCGTTAACGCGTCGGACGCCGGCTGGGTGGGGCGCAACCGCTCACCCAACCGTGTTTTCCAGGCTCGCGCCAGACGGGAGAGGAGGAGGCCGGCGGCCCTGAGCGGCCCGGGGACGTGTGAGTGCGGGGGGCCAAGTCCCCCATTTCTCGTCCCACAAGGTTCCCCTGGTCCCCACTTTGCCCTGAAGCTTCGTTCCTAGGTCCCTCTTCTGCCTCGCTCTATTCGGTCCTTGTCCGTCAAACCTCAGCCCCAACTTCTACCGGGCCCCTGAGTCCATCGTCCACTTCAGCATTCGCACCTGTCTGTCCCCAGAGTGAATGTGGTGTTCGTAGACCGGTCAGGCCAGCGGATCCCAGTGAGCGGCAGAGTCGGGGACAATGTTCTCCACCTGGCCCAGCGCCACGGGGTGGACCTGGAAGGTAGGAGCCGGGCACAGGGAATTGAGGAGGTCCTTATCCATTCGTTCAGAAACACACAAATCAGGTATGTCTCTCCACTACTTAACTCACCCATGACTTCCCACCAAATATGGACTAAAATTCAGACTTCACACTGTGGCCCCATTCCTTGCCTAGCCCTTACTTATTATTTATTAGAGGCCACTAGAACCTCCTGCCTTCTGGGAGCTTGTGTTCTCTCTTCCTCCCCCTGTTCTAGCCACACTGGCTTTCTTGCTGTTCCTCAAACAGCTAAGCTCATTCCTGCCTCAGGGCCTTTGCATGGGCTGTTCCCTCTGTCTGAAGTCCTTTCCCAACATACATTCTGGCTCCTTCTCATCCTTCAGATCTCAATGTAAATGTCATCTCCCTGATAATCCCATCCCCCTCGGCCCAGCTAAAGTCCCCATGCCCTAGTCACTGTATCATATCAGTGTGATATGATATGACACGTTGCTCTTCTCAATGTTTCATTTTCTTCTTTGTCACCTGTCCCCCAATGAGATCAAAGACCCTTGTTCTCCTTGTTCACACTTATTTGTTGCCTATTGTGGTTCTTATACTGATCTTATCAGTATTTGTTGAGGGAAAGATAATAGCAGAAATCACTTTAGGCTTGTTGATACATATTAACTGATTGAATCTTCATGACAACTTTATACGGGAGGGGAGACCGTTATTCCCTTTTATAGGTGAGGAAAGTGATCTTCAGGATACGAGTAAGTGACGAAACTAGATTTCAACCCAGCCCATTTTAGCCATTAATCTGTGCTGCTCTTCTATGAACATTGAATACCTTCTGTGTGTCAGGCAACAGTGTACAAAACAGATAAGGCCTCTATCATGTCACACGAATTTCAGCCTAATAGGGACAGTAATCCTGTGACTAAACACACAAGTACATCATGAGTAACCGGGAAGGGTGGTCAGAAGGAAAATGTACAGGGTTCGTTTTTTTGGGGGGGTGACTATAATAGGGAACCTGATTTAATCATTAAAGGGGGCAGAGATGTTGGGGGATCATGGCAGGCTTTCCTCAAGTTCTGCCGTGGAATCCATTGGCCAGCATCTGGGACAGAGATTGGAACATGAGTTTTAGAAGCAGGTGGCCTGTGTTCACATTTTGCCTCCTACCAGCTGTGTGACCCTGAGCAATGTACTTAGTCTCTCTGGGCCCTTGTTTCCTCATCTATAAAATGGAATAATTTAGTTCCTATTTCACTGAATTGCTGTGAAGATTAAACTGTTTAGGCCAGGCGCGGTGGCTCACACCTGTAATCCTAGCACTCTGGGAGGCCAAGGCAGGAGGATCAGTTGAGGTCAGGAGTTTGAGACCAGCCTGAGCAAGAGTGAGACCCCATCTAAAAACAGAAAAAATTAGCTGGGTGTGGTGGCACGTGCCTGTAGTCCCAGCTGCTCAGGAGGCTGAGGCAGGAGGATCGCTTGAGCCCAGGAGTTTGAGGTTGCTGTGAGCGAGGCTGACGCCACTGCACTCTACCTGGGGTGACAGTGAGACTCTGACAGAGTAAGACTTGGGAACAGCTAGCTGAGTAATGACAGGATGGAGGGTGTGAACAGTGGGTGTGCAGGCCCCGGAGGGACAGATGAGGCATGTGGTAAAACAAGGCTTCTCCTCCTGACTGACCACTCACTTCCTGCCCCCAGGGGCGTGCGAAGCCTCCTTAGCATGCTCCACCTGCCATGTGTACGTGAGTGAGGACCACCTGGACCTGCTGCCGCCTCCTGAGGAGAGGTGAGCCTGAGCCCCTCCCAGCTGCAGGCTTGGCCACCGAGTCTTTGTGTTCCAGGAGTCCAGAGATGCCCCTGGGCAACATCGGAGGGACCCCTCCCCTCCTCATCCCACCTCCAGCTGCTGGAAGGAGAGCTGCCTCTCTGACCCCTCCCCGCGGGTCCCCCATCTCCCCAGCAGCCGAGCCAGCCTGCAGAGGCTAACCACTGCCCTTGTTACCCCAGGGAAGATGACATGCTGGACATGGCCCCCCTCCTGCAGGAGAACTCCCGGTTGGGCTGCCAGATCGTGCTGACACGAGAGCTGGAAGGGGCGGAATTCACCCTGCCCAAGATCACCAGGAACTTCTACGTGGACGGCCATGTCCCCAAGCCCCACTGACGTGGGCAGCTGGACAGGCCTGGACCGCCATGGCGCCAGAGTGAGGACTGAAGGAATAGTCAAGTTGCCAGCCCAGCCCAGAGCACTGAAAGGCTGGAGAGAGACGCAGGAAGCCCCCGAGAAGGCCACAGACCCTGCTTGGGAGAGATCCCACCGCCCGGCCAGGCTCTGGTGGGGATAGCGCCGCTACCGGGGCGGCCTCCCTCAAACCCCTGAGAATCGGGGTACCAGGAGGGGCGGACTTAAATCAGAACTCCAATAAAACTGTCTCACAGACTTTCAGTATGTTGAGTATCCTTGGGGGGCAGGTCCCAGATCTACAACTGCATATGCCGGGGACCCCGCTTCCCCTCCATGAGCAGTGACGGCCAGTGATGGCCAGTTAGCGTGCTGAGGCGGAGGCCGGGGCCGCTCGTGGAAGGCCCCGCCCCTGCAGCTGCGGAGGGATTTAGAGGGATGGAGGCGCCGAAGCTGATTCTCTGATCCTCGTCTGGTCGTGCTGGTCCGTCCTGTCCAGGTGGGGCTCATTGCACCCCCAGCCAGAAGCGCCCGCGCCCTGCAGGTCCCGCTGTCCCAGGTGGGGCTCATTGGCGGGCGCAGGGGGGGCGGGGCCGGGGCCTGGGGAAAGTGGGAAGGGGAAGTGGGCTGGGCTGCGGCGTGATGGAAGCTGAGCCAGCCCCAGACTGCTCCGACTGCCTGATGCCACCAGAGCTACTGGCGCCGCCCTGTCTGGACCCGAAGCCGCCCCCGGGATCCCCCACCCAGCGGGAGCCGAGGACCCCAGGATGCTGCAGACTCAGTGGGAGGTGCGAAAGGCCAGGCTCCCTCCTCCCACCCCCCACGCCCACCCCTCTTACTCTGCACCTGACCCAGTGGTCACGGGGTCATGACCTCTGGTTCCTGGGGTTCTCCAGGGTGGCAATGTTAGTTACTGGTACTTAACAAAAGAAGAGGTTCTGGTCCCTAGGGACACTTGGGGTCATCCAGGGATCAGAGGCCGTGCAATTCCATGCCTCTGAGGCCGATGTAGGCACCACCAAGGGTTCATCCAGGGGTTATGGAGGGGAAACCGATTATAACGATAAAAATCATCGTGATCATCATAGCAAACCAGAGGCTTCAGATCTTGACTTGGTCCCCTCGGGTGGTCCTTGCCTGGGCGACCTACTGGGTGGATGACGTGGTTAACTGATGTGGAGGGTTGAGAATGGTGCTGGGCGCGCACACAGTAGGCACGTGGTGTTTGCAATTACTTTGCAACTTTTAAACCTTCAACCCAGTGTTAGGAGTAATTCTTCGCCCCAGACAGGCATGTAACCTCCCCAAGGGCACACAGCTAGCAAGGAGCAGACACAGGTTGGAACCCCCACCGGCCTGCTGGGCCCAGGAGTCACTCAGGGAACTGGGTGACCCCCCTCCCCCTTGTCCCCAGGTCCCTCTGGCCTGCATGCCAGGACTTGGTCTCCGCCCTGCGCTTCCTCCGAGTGACAGCAGAGGAGCTGGCCCAGCCCCCTGCCCACAACACCCAGGCCCCGGGACCCTGCTGGGAGCTGATGTCTCTGGGGACTCTGGGCCCCCTACCTCTGGACATGGATTCCAAGACTATGCAGACCCACATTGGCAAGAAATGCCACAGCCTGGACCCTAAAGGGACTCCCCCAGCCCCACCCCAGAGAAGGCCTCGGAAGCAGCCGAACCCCCACCGGGGCGCCGAGAAAGTGGACCCTGGGTTCCAGGGGGTGACTCTGAAGTTTCAGATAAAGCCAGATTCCAGCCTGCAGATCGTCCCCACATACAGGTAGGGGCTGGCTGGAGCCAGGGCGCCTTTTATGCCAGTAACAAGGAGAACACCCAGGGTGGCGGGCAGAGGCCTGGGGACAGGTGCTCGCAGGCATCAGTTCATGGGCTCCCACACCAGCCCCATGTTACACAAGGCCCAATCTCTGATGGATCCAGACCTCAGCCTGGTGCCAGATCCAGCCCTGCCACCACTGAGGTGTCACCTTCCAGCATGAGACCTGGTCTCCTCTTTCTGTGTCAGGCCAGACCCTACCAAGGGGTGCTGTTATTTTTCCCAATAACGGTAAGAGTTACAAGAACAACAGCAATAAGTGGTAATAGGCAGCACTTGATATGTATGGGCTCATTAAAACCTTGGGAAGCCCATTTTATAGGTGAGGAAATTAAGGCAGAGAGAGGGAAATAAACTTGCCCAGGGTTATACAGTGAGAACGTGGGAGAACTGGGATTTGACTTTTAGTTTTGGATTTTTTTTTTTTGGTAGAGATGGGATCTCACTATATTGCCCAAGCTGGTCTCTAACTCCTGGCCTGAAGTGTTCCTCCCTGCTCAGCCTCCCAAAGTGCTGGGATTACCAGCATGAGCCACGGTGCTGGCTGAGAACTGGGGTTTGAACCTGGCAGGCTGGCCCCAGGCTTACTACCTCTTGAAATAATATCAACTATTATTATTATTATTGTTGTTGTTGTTATGAATGAGGGGCAAAGCTAGGCCTTTCAGCATCAGATTCTTCCTTGGGAGGTGCCTGATGTCTTCACATTAAATCTACATTTTGGGGGGGCTGTCGGGGACAAGATAACAGATCCCCTAATGCTAATGCCTTGTCTACCCCCCAGCTTGGCCTGTAACACCCGCTCTCAGGGGCTCCCTGCATGCCCTGCCGGGGGTCCGGAGGTCCACCCTGCAGGCAACGAGGCGCTGGGTGAGTCCTGAAGACTTGACAGCTATAAATATTTTGGGGGGGCCAACATCCTATCTTCCCTGTCTTCCTCCCCATCCCGCTTCCCCATTTAGACCCTTCCAGGGGGAGTCACAGTGTCCCCCTCCACTCGGGCTGAGTCACCCCCACCCCCAGCTTCCTCCCCTGCCAAGCAGTGCCATCTGTCTCCCTTCCTGGCTTCCACTCTCTCTGAGATCTGGCGACACCCCAGGAGTGGCCTGGAGCCAGGTGGGGCCTTCACACAGACCCCCACAAAATACCAGCCTTCCTGGCTCACATGCTTGGCCTCTGACCCCTGCCCTTTGCCACCCGACCCTTCAGGGCCCCGGCGCTGTGCCTCCTGCAGGACCCAGACGACTCCACTCTGGAGAGATGCTGAAGATGGGACCCCTCTCTGCAATGCCTGCGGTATCAGGTCCTCAGAATGCAGGAGGGAATCGGGATGGGGGGGCGTCCCCAAATCAGTCCACCAACATCTGGCTCTTGGGGAAAGTGATTTCCTTGCGGTGGTTTCTGGGCCCCCGCTGCATCCTGAAGGGTGGTTTCTTGTACCCCCACCCCAGGTACAAGAAATACGGCATCCGCTGCTCTGGCTGTTGGCTGGTACCCAGAAAGAGCATCCAGCCCGGGAGGTTGTGCGGCAGATGCGGAGTGGCCCTGGACCCCCACCACAGCCCGGCTCAGGCAGATTAAGCCCTGAGCCTTCACTGATTCCTCATCTGGAGCAAAAAAAAAAAAAAAAAAAAAAGCAGTGAGCCGTTCTGCCTCAGTTTCCCCAGGGGTAGAATGGACAGAAGCTCTCCTAGGAGGAGTGGATTAAGAGCCAGCCTGCCCTGTGTCCCCATACAGGGATCCCAGGGCGAAGACCCAGGCCCCAGAGCCCGTCTCAGAGGGTCACCCATCCCCTATACAGTCCCTTCTCCAGTCAGGCTGGGCTGAGCCCCGCTCAGGAAACGTGGTTGGTAGTGATGGGTGTACTGTTAACAGCAAGAACAATAAAACAGCTACTCACAGAGAAAGAGCGGTGTGATTTGGGGATCCCACCTCGTGTGCCCGTCTCCCAGCCTGGGAAAGTGGGGCGGGTGTTTTCTCATTGCTGCGAGGGGCGTGCACGCACACACGGGGACACGCTCGTATACGTGCAATAGTCTGACACACACGGAATCGGCCACATTCGCCACACTGTCCCATTCGGGTAAACAGCCACCACCCACAGAGACGGACAACA